CAGGGCCATCGCGGGCACCGCCTGGGAGCAACCTGTCAGTGCACCTCGTAGGCCGTCCTCGAAGGACCCTCCCCACGCGTTAGCTTGTCCCCGAGAGAAGGAGAGTTTGAAGCCCTCTCCATGCCTTATCAAGTTCCTTATCTGAGTGGCTGCCTGAAACTGTAGACCAGTTCAGCTTCATCTGGTGTAGGGGCGGAAAGCGGTGTAGCTCTCGTACCCCATCCTCAGTCAAGGACCACCTATTCGGGTTTAATGTAAGAAGATGGTGAGATGCGGCTTGCAGTGGGAAGCGACTAGATCCCTGTTGCGGAGTGAGGGCTTCGTATTCACCTTCCAACTCCTGATCTGTGCGCCCTGAGAGAGAACACTCACCCTTCTCCTTCAGCCCCCTTCCCTAAATCTTGCCTTGCTTCCATGTTGCATTGGTCAGAATTTTGGTCAGTGTTGTTTACGGAAGGGGGGGGGGAAAGAAGGCAGTTGAGGTCACAAACAAAAGTACTTGTATGACTCATCTACTTGGATTTAAGACATTCTATCCTTCTTTCAAGGAGCCTTTGCATCTCTTTGAAGGAATCAGATGCTTGTTCCTATTCTTCCAGAGGAGGATGGATTGAGAGTTGTACATTTTAGACTTTTTTTGGGCCATTGCTGGTATTATTAAAAGACATAATGGGGCTTTTCCACTGGATTATTGCCAGAATTAGTTTACACACTGAAACAATGAGTTTTTAGGCCTCTCTTATGATAATGTTTGTCCTGCTTTAATATAAAGTTGCTGTGGAGGTTTGGGTTAAAAATTGTGGAGGACAGACAGCATCAGAAGAGGCTCTCTTCATCTCTGGTTGGTGTGGCAACCCCAATCTGTCCTCGATGCCTTCAGCCTTGGCCATCTTCACTTGCCGCCCGAACTCTCATCCATTTCAGGAGCGTCATGTCTACCTGGATGAGCCCGTCAAGATCGGCCGCTCAGTGGCTCGCTGCCGGCCAGCTCAGAATAATGCAACTTTTGACTGTAAGGTGCTGTCCAGGAACCATGCTCTTGTCTGGTTTGATCACAAGACAGGCAAGGTAAGTTGATTTTTTTATTTAAAAAGAGAGAACTGCATATTTGTTTTATCAAGTCCCTGTAGATTGCAGATCACTTTGGTTTTCCTGTAATATGGTTGCATGTGGAAGGAGTAAGATCAGTGTTACTGTTAAAATTAATGCTTTTCAGGTAAGTTGGTAATTTCTTACTAGGCAGAAACTTTAAATGTTATTAAAAGCACATAAAGCTAAACAGTTGAAAATGGTGATAAGTACTGAAAAGTTTGCATGTGTATTATTCATTGCTGGAAGTAGGTGATTTTGAGGTGAGTAATACAAATCTGAAAGCACAGGCTTATATGAGTATAATAGTGCAATAGTATTTATTCAGATGGTGAGAAATTATTTTACCTGAGCATGTAAATAAATCCCATTGCAAGGACAGTCCAAAACTGATTTTTTAAAAAAGCCTGCTGGGTTTGTTTGGCCCTCTTCCTACTTGCTTTTTTGGAATTTTGTAAAGAGTATTTTGTTGTTTGGGTCTGATAGAAGGTTCATTACTGGCAGCAGGAGTGTAACAAATGACATACAGGATATTTTCTCGTTGGTGGTGAAAATGGTTTTAGAATATATCCTGTGTTGTCTAACTGTTGCTCTCAAAAGGTTAACTATCTTGTGAAGTCTGTAGTGCATGTTTTGTCCACTAGGGATTGAACTGGGACAAGTAAAGTTATTTTACTTAATGACTGTCAAGTTAATTTTAAATATCCAGCAAGAAATGAACAAAGTGCACATTGCAGTTGCTCAGCGTTGTATTTTTTGAATGTATTATTATGCCCTTGAACTTCATATGCTCTAAATCAGCTCTCTGTTTTAGCTCTACAGCATGCCCTTCTACGAAATGCGGTTAGCATAGGTCTTGATTTTAAGAATAATATGGTCTACAATTAATGCAGCATTTTTTAGTAGTATGACACAGCATGAGGAACAGTACAATGCAGTCAAAGTTCTTAAACCTTCCATTGTTAGCTATCCTATGTTATGCAATACCTGGGCATGATGGGACAAGACAAGCGTTTTAATTTCTTAAGGCTGGGTTATGGCATGGCTTTCAAGTTACCTGCACGTAATTGTGCAAACTGCTATCTGTATTAGTGTTTCATTAAGTATATTGTTTTGACTCTGTGTATGTGATATGCATTCTTGGACACTTTAGAAGACTCAAGTGCATAAAATATTTTCAATTTAGGTTTAGTTTTTAACCTTTCTTGTTTGACTGAAAGTAAAATATTCAATCTCTTCTGTACTGTTTTTAAAGTGCTCTGCACATGGCTTTTTATCAACATTTCCCATTATTTATAGAGATTTTTAAGACCCCCCCCCATGTGCTCTTTTGTGCTTACAAATAGTTTTAGCCATATTAAAGATGTTTAATTTGACAAAATTTTGAGTGTTGAGCAAGTCTGCTAGGTAATAGATGAGCTTAAAAGATAGTCAGTTGTGAGGTTTTTTGTTCGTTTTTAAATTTCAAACAGCTTTGGTTTTTCTAATACAGGTTAAAAAATTACATGCTTATTTGTTTCATCTAGCTGATCTAAAATAGCAACTTAGTAGTAAATAAGTGGATAGTATGTGGTAGTTCTTGAGATACTGTCATGTGAGGATTTGATGGGGGTCTTGATGAAAATTACCCGGGTGTGGGTATCTGGATCAGGAGCTGTAGTGATCAACTAAAGAGGGGGTTTAAGATCATGCCTAGAAATACATGACTCTGAATTCTGTACATCAGATGTTGTGGTACTGTAAAAGGTTTAAAGCAGTGATACAGCAGTATGGAAAATTTTGGATTGTGTTTGTTTCTTGGCAATATGGTCTGGTTTTTCAGCTGGTTCAGTATCTGAATGGTAAAATATGAGATGGAGGAGAGAGATAAATGCATCGTTAGAGGTAATAGATATAAAATGCTGTTTTGAAAAGGCAGGTAGATGATGTTGATAAATACAGTCTTAATATTGAATTCCTAAAACTAAAGAATTCTGTGGTGTTTTCAAAGTACAAACAAAAATGTAAAACTATGCCAGAACATTTGCATGCAGGAACATTTATTATCACTGTTTACAGAACTCCTAATAAGTACGTCTCATTCCGGAATGTCATTATCCTATCAATGACCTATATTTAAACCTGCACAATTTTTTTTTTTTTTGCCACAGTATTTGTAAACATTTCTTAAAAGCTTATATATAGGACTTCTATAAATTTTGGGGTTTATGAAAGATAAAAGACCTTGAAATGTTAGTTTAGTAACAGAAAGAAGCCTTCAAATAATTGAGAATAGTTCATGAATGATCTGGGGCTGCAGTTTCCTAAGTTGTAGACTTTGGCAATACTGGTTTCTGGTGTTCCCAGTCATTCAGTCCAGTCTCTGTGCTGTCTCTTGAGCTGCCTTTGAGTTATACTCTAATAATATTTTTTTTGAGGTTTTGGAGTTTGTTTGTTTTGTTTTAGTGAACCCCGTGAGTGATCCTGTTTACTACATAGTCTATAAACAATTGTATCAGCATAATCGGTAAAGAAGGGAGGGAGCATCAGTAAGCAGTGGCAAGGAAACTGGTATATAATTTTTTCTTGAGGCACAGGTAGGCTTAAGATGAAGTATGTCACATAAATAGATCAAGTTGAAGATGACCTGTTACTTGCAGTTGGAAGATGTGAATGTTTGCTTTTTATAATGGCACTTTAATTATGCATGGAAGAAGTTATGTGCCCAAAGGAGATAATGTCTATGTCCCACCAGCATTATTAAGGATAAAAGTAGGATGCGTCTTCAAGATCACCAGTAAATAGCAATTAAAAGCAGATACTTGAAGTTGGATTTGCTTTTTAAAATATTGTTAACATAATACATAAGCCCAAAAATGTGTAGGCTAAAGGTGGAAGAAGGTGGGGTGGGAAAGTATCTGTACTCAGACTTTTTCTGTTCTTAGTAATACTTCTACAAACGAGTGCAGCGCTTCCTTTTGCTTGTGTTTGTAGAAACAGTTTAATACCTTCTTGTGGATTTTTCATATAGGAGTAGCATTAGAAGCTTATGCCTAGAATTGATTTTGATTTCTTTTTTGAGTAATTACAAGTTAATGAATCTTTTTGAGATGCCTGAAAAAGTGAGTCACTAGTTATGTAGGAAGTGGATGTTGTGCTGAGCATGGAGTGTTCCAAAAAGTGTGAATCAAAGCAAAACAAAAAGTGGGCTATAGTTCAGAAAATCTAAATAAGTTTGTTCAGTTCCTATCACTGCATATGGGCAGAAAAGTCTGTAAAAACTGCTTAACTGAAATAGTCTTAAACTTATTTTTGGGGATTGTGTTTTCTTTTGGGTTGTTTTTTTTTGATTGTTTTTCAAAATAAGCAAGTTGAAAACCCTTGAGAATTTGTATGTGACTTCTCCCAGGCTGAAATGCTTCTGGCAGATGTGGTAGAAACTTTTAGTAGAAACCTGAAGTTTCTGACAGATATCCAGGCTTTCAAAAATGGGAATTAGTCAGTGCCTTAGGTTGTTGTGAGTGGCTATAGTACCTTTTATAGAGAATCCATTGCCCCAGTTTACTAAAGGTGCTGAGGAATTGTGTGGAGACTGTAAGGGCTCCAAATAACTGGTAATTTTTAGCAACTGAAAAAAAAATGTGTAGGAACAAGA